CACACACACACACACACACACACACACACACACACACACACACACACACACCTTCTCTTTCATCACCCACGCATGCATAGTGTACATAATTATGAATCAGCCATGCAAATACATTGTGAAATATACACAATGCCATCTGTGAGTTAACAAAAAATATACATAAATAGATACATTGCACTGATACTTAGTGTTTACATAATATTGTAGGGAAAATGCAGCAACTAAGTTAGAAATCATTTTACCAAATGTGTCTTTACACAAATTTAGACAGATTTACACATCTTATGTCGACATTTTTTTCATTTTCCACTTTGATATATATATATTATTGTCGGTGTCTGAATCCCACCATATATAGGTCAGACAGTTGTAGTTTGTTTGTTGAGGGGGGGTGGGGGGTTGCCTCAAATCATATGCATTATTCACAACCATAATGAAAATTGATGATACATTTACTTTTATATGTAAAAAGAACACAACATCCTACTTAAAATTTTGAGCGATTCTGGTAGTCAATTAGAAGAAAAAATTTATGGGGCCTTTTTTGTAGACACTTTTTAAAAAAACCCAGTGTTCGTGCACATAATACCCAGTTGAAATCATGCATCAAAGACATAAGCTACATGCATCGATGACATAAGCTACATACGTGTATTTGTTCCGTGCCATTTACCGATCGGTGAAATCTTAAGCTGCGCATTTTAACGATCGTATAATTGCGCAGCAATCTTAACATTGCACTGCGCATTTTAACGATTGTATCATTCTTGTGAGCTCTCAGGTTTCATATCTTAATTTTAATTTTAATTTTCATATTTTTACACTTTAGAAAATGTATGAGTATATTCCTTGATGTGAGTAAAAGAATAAAGATGCAAGTGAATTTTTTTTAAATATTAAAAAAATTTACAATAAATTAAATGCACTTTGTGAACTTTGAGTTTGATACCTGGCATTGTATCATTCTTGTGAGCTTTTCAGTTTCATTATTAATTTTAATTTTAATGTTCATATTTTTACACTTTTGAAAATATGTGAATGTTCCTTGATGTGAGTAAAACAATAAAGATGGAAGTAAATTTTCAAAAGAAATAATTTTAAAATTATAAAATATTAACGCAATCTTCATATTGCCACGCAATTACACGCGGAGGACAATCTGCCACACACCTGCAATAAAAATAGCCCATCGATGGGTGCCACGTTCACTGCCAACCCATTTGGCAGACCCAAAATGTCGTGATAACAACACACCAATAAAATCAACAACGTAACACTTCCACCAACAACCACACAAACGAAGCACCTTGCAGGCCTAAAATGTCAGGACATTCACAAAACAAAAAAAATACTAGCATGGGGCTGTTCAAATATAATCTTACATCTTTTGGGGACTTTTTGC